CTTCTGCTCCTGCTCCTCCTCCTCCTCCTCATCCTACTACTACTACTGCTACTACTACTACCACTACTACCACCACCACCACTACTACTACTACTACTACTACTACTACTACTACTCCTCCTACTGCTACTGCTACTGCTACTGCTACTGCTACTGCTACTGCTACTGCTACTGCTACTGCCACTGCCACTGCCACTGCCACCGCCACTGCTACTGCTACTGCTACTGCTACTCCTACTTCTGCTACTACGACTACTACTACCACTACCGCCTCTACCACCACCACGACCACGACCACGACTGCCACCACCACCGCCACCGCCACCGTCACCGCCACGCCACCACGTCTACCACCTCTACCAGCCACAGCAAGGGCTACTACCATGGCAAGCTATTGCTACAAGCACTCGTGCAGCAGCGCAGCAGCAGCAGCAGCAGCGGTAGAGCGTGATGGCCAAAATTAATTACAGCACAAGAAGACGAGAACATCGACCAGAAGCAGTAGAGCGCGATGGCCAAAACGAATAACAGCACAAGAAGATGAGAACATCGATAACGACGCCGCGATGACAGCGACATTGACAAAGTCTGCCACGACCAAGTCGAAAGCGATGGCGACGACGATGGCGATGATGATAATAACACAGAGTGACCACAACAGCAGCAGCACCCACTACCACTCCCACCGCCAGCGCAACCACTTGCGCCAAAAAGTCCCAGAAACAGGACGAAAGAAACAGACGCTGGCAATCGGACCTCGGCGGCAAGTTCAGGAAGAAGCGGTTCGTTGCGAACTGGCCCTTGAAGAGCTTGCCAGGCAACATGTTCATAATGTGACGAGCCATGTGCCTGGGACGAAAGTGTTCAGACAACTACTCGTTCTCACGGGGCGGTGCAGGAACTGGCTGGCGGTGTATTGCTGTTGTGACGTCGGATCTGTGCAACAAAACCGTGCTATCCTTGCAATCCGGTCCAGCCACTGCCACTACATAACTCGTGATATACCATGATATCCCCAAAAAATCTTGCACACCCAATCTTCAAAGGCAGAAAGCTTACAATGGCTTACAAGTGCCGCAGCTGCAGCCTGGCCTGCCAGTCAGCAAGCCCCGAACAGCTTCCTTGTCGTACTTCTGGTTCATCCAGCGCACGGCCTGCGGCAACGGAAAGACGCGGAAACCAAGGGCAAATGCACAGAGAAGCAAGGCTCTGCGCATGATTGGGCATCAGGCCTCAGTATTTACCCAGTTCTGGAGCTCCATGACACAATCCTCGCCGAGCTCCGTGTGGGCCGCGAAACGCTCCAGCAGGCCACGTTGTTCGGTGATGAACTGCCCCCGCTCGTCGACGCGGGTGACCGCGGCAATCACCTCGCCACATGGGGGAATGCTGTACTGTCGGCATGTAGCTGGCAACGGGCCTCTCCAATAATGATACTGTGCACCACTGCACCGATGAGGAAAGTGAAGACCACATACATGATTTCACCTGTTCTGAGCACGGATAGATCTCTGCTTGGGCACACTTTTGCGGCCCGTCCGGCCTGGTGTGACTGCAGCAATGTCACCGAAGCCTGATGGGAGCTAAGCCGGCAGGGGCAACATGCTGCGAAGCAATGACGAAAAATTCGATGCCAACTGTTAGGAGGTTTCGGCACGCCGCCTACAGTGGTGAACACCGTGAGAATGAAGTACCTTTGCTGCCAGAGGTGCAAGAATGTGCGTCTTTCTTACAGTCTTAGAGTATACTCTACGTCCTGCAGCCAACTGGCATGGCATGGAGCCATTGAAGACCAGGATCACTCTCATCCAGTAGACTCTTCGCGCCATCTGCGTCCACCATTCTCCGTGCCAACCAGGTTGACTGCAGAACAAAGCAACCAAAAGCAGTGCATGGCTGCACTTTAAAGAGGGTGTGTTAAGTCAGAGATGATGTATAGCCTACACAAGGCTACATGTGCCGCCTGATCATGAAGGAAACGAGCCTCCACATCTGTGTGCAGCGATGCGCACATGTACCAGCCACAGGCCAGCAGATGAACAGAGAAGAAGAGACCAACCAAGACGTTGATAATGCGCACTCCCCGGAGCGTCTGCAACCACTTCCACAGTGGGCTCCTAAAGCGTCCCAGAGTCAGAAGGGCTTCGATCTTAAACGTCTTAGACCCGTGTGAAGCAAGGGACGACTTCATGGCGGTCAGCTTCGCCAGCCGCCCAATGCGAGCCAGGCGGAACAAACGCGAGGCTCTCTGCAATCGCATCGTCCTTCACATGGGCATTCTAGATCTGCTACCAGCAGGCGGTCAGGATTCGGAGGCAAGCCGGAAGGAGAGTGAGAGCGAGACAGCGAAAGAAACCGACCTCGCCGCTTGATGGGCGCCAGCTCCGTCGCCTGCCGTCGCGCCAGCTCCCTCAAGCCTTTCGAAACCTCCACCCGCCTACTAAAGGCTCCCTACTCGCAGTGCCTTCCTGGCCACTGATCGCCTTCATCATCTCGCCAGCTGCCTAGGCTTCTGAAAACAAGTCACCGTGATGCGGGCATCGGAGACTGGATAGGTCCCCAATGTCAAGGTGTCCCGGAAATCATTGCCGCCTCGCTGCCTGATCAGGAAGACTGGCCATAACGTTCACGAGGAAGCTGCCCGTGGCATAGCGATATATGATTCGTGGCAGGCAGTCTACCTGGCGCGGCCCAGGCCGACATCGGTGGAATCAGAGGCTGTTAGGCGAGTGCAGCTGTGCCTCCCGTCCACGCTCATCTTGGAAGCTGCAGAAGAAGTAGATGAAGCAGTCCACATAGAACAATCCATCGACAAAATTCGACCACACCTCTGCTCTACTTGGCTCGCTTTTTCTGCCCCCTCTGCCTACCACAAGCCCCCGAGCCTGCCAGCCTGTTTCGTCGATACCCAGATACTCAGCAACCTGCACAGGTCTTGTTCTTTGGCTCCGAGTTTAGTGATCCTAGTGACAATAGCGAGTTAGGAGAAGAACTTTAGCAACGGTAGTATCAAAGCTCATCTTGGTCACATGAAGATCACCGTACCAGTTGCACATTCGCTGAAGTCGCCATGCGCCATCGCCTTCGTCAATCATCGCCATCACCATGATCAACTCCAGCAACATCACATCATCCTCGCAGCATCATCGTCGTCATGCCCTCATCATCAATATCACCATATTCATATTCTCATACTCATATTCATGTTCTGCAATCAACAGTAACAGTCGCCGTATCAGAGATAGCAGTAGCAGCGGTAAGTAGTAAATGTAGCAGTCGTAGTCGTAGTAGTAGTAGTAGTAGTAGTAGTTGTTGTTGTTGTTGTAGTAGTAGTAGTCGTCGTAGTCGTAGCAGTAGTGTAGTAGGAGGAGGAGTATAGCACTAAAGGCAGATGGAAGCTACACACTGCCAGTGATCACAGAAGCTTCATCACAGACATTGACCATGGTTGCGCCCTCCTTCAGCGGCTCTGGCTTGTGAAGGTCGATGAAAGTGAGCTGAAAAAGGAACCATGTTCCAATGTACATCAGCATGGCAGTCACGATTCCGGTCCACACCTGGCGGCAAAACTGCGTGCGTGGCAAGACAACAACCGTGAACTATGAAAGCCTAGAATGCAGTAGCAGTGGCAGCAGCAGCAGCAGCAGCAGCAGCAGTAGTAGTGGTGGTAGCTACTACTACTGCTACTGCTACTACTTCTTCTTCTACTACTACTACTACTACTACCACTACTACCACTAGTAGAAGTAGTAACAGGAGCAGCAGTACGGGCACTAGTACTAGTAGTCGTAGGAGTAGTTGTCGTCGTCGTCGTCGTAGTAGTCGTAGTAGTAGTAGTAGTAGTAGTAGTAGCAGCAGTAGTAGTAGTAGTTGTTGTTGTTGTTGTATAGTAACAGTAGTAGGCGTGGGTGTGAGCGTGGGCATAGGCGTAGGAGCAAGAGCGGCAGCAGCAGCAGCGGGAGTAGCAGCAGCAGCCGCACCAGTAACAGTAGAAGTAGTATCAGCAGTCCTGTACTAGTAGTACCAGTGTATTCGTCGTCGTCTCTGTTGTCGTCTATGTGTGATAGTGATAGTAGTCGTTGCATTGTGAAGTAATCATACCAATGACGACCAAAACGATGATATCAAAGTGAGCAATGCGCATTGAGGATGCGTAGTAGGAACATGATAGAAGGCATGTGCGGAAACCGAAAAAGCTGACAGCTGTGGCCCACTGTCAGAGTGGTAATGTCAGTATCTTTATCATGTTCAACCATCATGGCACATGCAAGAGTGGCTATACACGGGCTGTCACATTTCTGCGGAGGACAGTGGCAATCACAGCGGTGGCACAAATGCTGAGACTAGCACTGGCAAGAAATTAAGTTGTCGCGGTTGTCGTCAATGCTATCGCTGCTCACTTCTACTACCTTGACTGTGACAACAGTAACGACACTGAACACGATGATGACGAGTACAACTGCTGAGGAGGTGGTGTGTCTCACCACGACTCATAGAGTTCTTATACATACTATTAAAGGTACTGTTTTGGATAGTATAATAGGATCTATAATACTCTTACAGATACTACTATACTATGGATACCGTAATTCTTTTTAATAGATACTATGATGGATACTATTTTAGATCCTGGTCCACTCTTTGAAGTTTTCTTGCTGCTCTTTCTCTTTGAAGGAACTCTGCTCAGAAGGCGGGGGGCCTTACGAAACTTGTTGGACTCCTTCATGACGAACCTGGGCTCTTGTTAAGGGATTTAGGGTTGTTGGTGTAGGGTTTGGGGTTTAGGGTTTAGGGCATTATTTACTATAGATTATAGATCCCTATTATGGGAACTTAAATTAAGAACCCAGAAACATGCTGCCGGTGTGGTCCATGAGGTCTTGCTCTTCCACATCCGAGTCTTCTTCCCTCTCCGAGACATCCTGGAGAGGTTTTTAGGGGCATTGAGGGGCTCAGTGCGTTCACCGGACTTGATGTCGGAAGCTGATGGAGGCTGGAGGACTGGAATCGAAATCGCAAGCTCTAAACGCTGAAGTTTGTGCAACGGTGTCCTTGCCAGTGGTCAGAGAGCCAGTGGTGATCTGACTCCCACGGACTGGGCTGCGGAATCGCCCAGACGAGGCATTGCTGAGCAGGCCGGATGGAGATCTGCCAAGCTCATCTGCTGCACCTGGCGATACGGCTGCGTGCAGTGATCCAGAGAGACGCCTAAACCCTAAACCCGAAACAATGAACCCTAAACCCTAAACCCTCATGCCGAATATTGGACCACGCTCGCCTGCTGATGAGGGGGACACTCGGGCTCGGATCCAGGAGGCGCAGCTGAAGCTCGTCGCCCTAGTCGAGTCTTCGGACGTGACCACCGTCTTTGACATGGCATTCCCATCCAAACTAGGTTGAGAGGCCCTGCTACTACTTGAATGCTTCTGGCTCCAGGCTTCAAGGTCTCTCAACCCTGCTCGGAGCTTGAATGCTTCTGGCTCCAGGCTTCAAGGTCTCTCAACCCTGCTCGGAGGCCATACACAACTCCTTTTAAAGGAGTTTGTTTTTCGAGCCTGCAGAGCCTGAGGAAGAATAGAAATGAGGAGCTACGCGGCGACGCGTGCTGCACGTCTGCATCCATGCTACAGCGCTACAGCTCCGATGCCTCTTTGACGCCTACCCTGCACAGCTGAGGTTGGGTCCCACAGCCAGTCCTTCTGGCTCTCCACAGAGCCGACGTAGGAGTCTGGCCTGAAACACAAAGAAGGCGCTCTTCGGAGTCCACGGTGCTCAAGCCGGCTTGGCGCATAACTCTGCTTGCGGTGCGGAAGTTCTGCTTAGAGGCCCAGCTTCCGAAGTTCAGAAGTTGCGTAAGCTCTGGAGGCCTGAGGAGGATGTGCTCAAGCTGGGAAAGCTTCTGGTACTGCTCCTCAATCGTCTTCTGCCGCTGAAACTTCGGAGGCATCCTGCCACTCGTGCAATAGCAATCGTCGCTAGCCGTCAGAACGCCCTGTGACGGCTGGTGTCCTTGTCTCTGAGGCTGCGCAGTGCAGGAATCAAAGTGTGCACAGACAGTTGTCAGATATCGATTGCTGTGGTGTCATGAGCTTTTCTGAAGCTGCTTCACTTATAGCGAATATGCTTTCGCTTGCTGCGGGTATGATATCAGACTGTGATCTTTCTTGGTGACGAGACCTTGGCTGTTTCAATGCAAAAGCTGCAGAAAGTGGACGACATAAAAGTGCTTCAACTCGTACAGCGTAGGACTGAACCCCGAAAGCAGTCTGAGTATTGAGGGTCAGGGTTGGCTGCACATCCAGCAATGATCCAGGACCTTTTGCCCACGCATACAGTTGGAGAAACGTCAGCGCTTTGCAGCGCCTTCACCAGAGCTTTAGAAGCTCTACAGCTTCCACGGGAAGTCTTGCCTGGCAAAGCAATCAGCACGGCAGCATGCTTTGCAGAGGAAGTCTGCGCAGGCGGGGTGTGGCTTTTATGCCATTATGCAGCAGATGCTGCTCCAAACAATGCAACTAGCCAATTAAGGTGCCACAAGGAAAAAAAACTGATTGTGCAAACAGTTCTCGCCATAAACTCCTGGCAGTCGCACACCAGAACCACCACCAAGCCTACCTCCGTCCCTTTCACTCACAACACCTCACCCCGACAGGCACGATCTGCATGTGTCTTTCAGCAACGCCTCGTCTTCTCTCGAGATTGATTGAACTCAGACACAGCCGATTCAAAATCGATCATGCTGACCTCAGAAAGGCCACAAGCAGCTAATGGCGTTGATCTCCCAGAGCTCACGAGCTCACTATTCGCAGCAACTTTAGACCGCGCGTTTTTTCACAAAACGACTGGCTCAGGGCTGGGCCGTCGATGAGTTCCGACGAGCAGCACGGATGGCGGCCTGCACACAACTCGAGGCGGCAGGACATGAGCTCGCATGCACACAGTTTGCTAACATATGCACGGAGAAGCAGCCTCGTTCACGATGGCTTCCAAAGCAGCACCTGGGAAGCCATCACACCTGGCTCGTTGAGCGGTTCTTCACGAAGCAGTTCGGGCAGGCCCTGGCAACCCGGGGCACCTTTCGGCGATGTCGCTCAGCTGTTCTGCGGTAACCTCCGGGGCCACAGGCACCTTGGAAGAGACACCGAAAATTGGAAAACTGGCGCAATGTCGCTTCCCCCAGGGCGTCGGCCGAACGCAGCCGAAGGTGGACTTTCAGAATCTCCAATCGTCCGGCGGCATTCGGGAGCGGCACCTCAAGAGACACTTTGGCCATTCCGGCGAACGTCGGGCTGGCAGCAGCCTGAACGACTCGATCGAAGCGTCCTGGGCGGAGTAGTGCTTCATCCAGAACCTGCAAGGGAGAAGTTCTTCTCCATTCCAGCACATCTCTCAAACTCCCGAGATTGCTTATAGTGACTCTAAGTCTAAGACCGCTCCACTTCACTGCGTGCGTCATGTTTACAGCAAGATGGAAATTGAGCTCACAAGCTTCGGACAGCGTTCATTGAAGCTGCAGGCACTCCTTCGAGACACGGCTCGAGATGCGCCTCGGGTCTGTTGGTGGCCGCAATGACGACAACCGGACGGCCGGGCTCGCGAGTGGCCAAGCCGTCCATGCATGTCAGTAGCTGGTTCAATGTAGACTCAGCCTGCCAGCAAAAGCAAGTGCAGGCCATGTTGGAGTGGCACATGCATCTAATTCTACCGGCACTACCGAGGCAGCTCAAGCGCGCCTCCTGATTGCCGCCGGCCATTCCCATGAGGTTGTTGGAGCGGGCCCGAAGCGCATCGATCTTAGAGAGGGGTGCTACAGCACAACAAGCATTGCTGTGATGAGGCACACCTCTGGACAACACCAGTGCGCACCCAAGGATAGCAGATGCTATGCAACAGTCTTTGCAGGCTGCCAGGCATCCCGTGGCCCCGTGTGAAGCGTGAGGGCACCGGGGTCTGATAAAAAGTAAACCCGCCTCGTCGATAAACACAATACACGGCGCCATCTTCCGCGCCCGTTCGAAGAGCTGCACGAGACGACAGAGCAAATCACTTCTGGAAAACACTCCTCTCGCAGCTACGCATGGGAAACTCGTTCAGAAGGAAGGTGATTCCGCTGGATTGTGGCTGTCGAAACTGATGCTGGTGTGATGATGATGATGGTGGTGGTGGTGATGATGATGATGCTGATGATGAGGATGCTGATGCTGGTGTTAAAGATGGTACGATGACGGCGAGGATGAAGATGGCATAACTGGCGACGATGCTGCCGATGAAGATGCTAGTGATGAAGGAGATGGTAATGGTAAAGATGCTTTTGATTGCAATGCTGATGCTGACGACGCGGTGATGACGATGTCGGTAGTGGTCGTTGTGGCGGTGGCGGTGGCAGTGGCAGTGAGCAGCAGCAGCAGAAGCAGCAACGGGAGCAGTAGCAGTAGTAGTATATAGTAGTAGCAGTAGCAGTAGCAGTAGCAGCAGCAGTAGCAGCAGTAGTTCTCAAAGCCTCGCACCAACTACACTGATTCTGTCCAGTCCAGTGCTGCCTGGCGCACACGAGCTGCACCGCGGCCAACAAAGAGCTCCTCAGATCGCCGAGAGTCAGCGAAATTGACATGACATATCCAAAGGCAGAGGCATCATCAGCATCTCCACACAAAAGGAACAGCTGGCACAACTCAGTACGCGTGTTTATCTGAATATATATATATATACATAGCATATATATACATATATAACTCATATAACCCTACATAGACACATTCCGGCACAGATACAGATACACATACATCCATGCATGCATACATACATACACATATGTATATATATATATATATGTGTGTGTGTGTGTGTGTTTCATAAACTGTGTGCTTGTTTGTGTATTTATTCATTATTCACTTATTTGTTCATGTAACTACTTATTCAAATATGTATCCACCTTTCCAAATATTCGAATTACATGTATACATATATATATATATATGTGTGTGTGTGTGTCTAAAAGAATATGTATACATATGTGTATATGTGTATGTATATACATATATGTATACACATACATGTATATGTTGCATGTATACATGTCTATTCATTGATTTTCTGTTGTATTCGCTTGTATTTATAAACTTGCGCATGTCATAGACATGTGAACAGGGAACCCCGCGCTATTCTGGTGTGGCCAGACCTAGTGTTTGCAAACCTGTGGCTCTGTGAGTGCTACTACTACGACGACGACGACTACTACTACTACTGCTACTACTTCTACTACTACTCCTATTACTACTGCTATTTTGTAACTAGTATTGCTAGAGCTAAGACCGCTGCTGCTGCCCGTCCTAAGCTGCTTAACACTTCACGTGCATTATTCTCAATGCTGTTAACCTAGTCAGTTTTGATCACGCTATACTAGACAGAGCTTGCAAAGACGGGGTGGTTCTCGGGCAGGGAGCTCATCGCGCGAGTCTTGTCGCAGGAACTCAGCAGTAGAACATTACTAGGCTAACCTTTGCGAACCACGTGACATCAACCTAAGACATAGACCAATATACTTGCATAAGGAGTGGCAACGAACTCGGTGGCTGCAGCGTTGAGAAAGGGCACGCCAGCCTATGAACGAGACAGCTCGTCTCTCGCCATGCGTGCCATTGCCCCTGCGTTGAAAGTCTTCGCTGCCAAAGTAGTGGCCCTTTAAGATATCCCTCGTCTGCCCTTCCGTCCGGTTGCTCACTCGATAGGCTGTCCCGAGTTAGAGGCTAGAAACACATGCTAAGACAGGATGAGCCGGTAGTCGGCACCTCCGCGGCAGTGGCCCGGGCCAGGAGAGTCTTCCCGGACCCAGGCGGGCCAGCCTCGCAAAAGCAGGAAAGTGTGTGTGTGTGTGTGTGTGTATGTATGTATATATATATATAGATACATTAAAAAAAACTATATATATATACGAATATATGATCATATAAAAAGAAACTACTCATATAGTTTGAAACGTTTCCCTGGGCTGCGCCCCGCTGATTTCAGGGCCCAGGCCAGCAGCACACCCCTGGGAACACTGGCACCGAGGGCGGCATACCTCTCACACGGAGACGCGACCAATTATGTCACAGCAAATGCCACAGTAGAGCATAGAAGAGCCTTCCGGGAGATCGCAGCATCTCAACCTGAGTTAGAGTTACAGGGCCCTCCCAGGCAAAGGTTGCGGCGACTCTACCTGAAACTTACTCTCTGCACCAAGAGTCACTTTGCCATAAAAGAGACATGCAGTGCCGCGAACGGTTTCGGCCTGAAGCCTCCATAGCGCCCTCGTGTCACATGCATGTTTAGGGTTTAGGATATAGGATTTGGTTTAGGGTTGTTGCAGCAATTCCTGCAACACAACACCATAGTAGATCTGGACAGAAAGCACTCGGTGCTCACTTCCTTTTCGGTGAGTCCCGCTTCCCCGTCAAAAAAATCTGACGATCCTCTTCCGAAGCCACTTCCATGAGCCATGGATGAATATACTCAATGTCTGTATAGTCTTGGCTTGGCCGGTCTTGCAAAGCCTGATTACACCAGGCTCGGAAATCCGAAAATTCTAGTTCCTTCTCATGACTCGAGAGTTTTGTCACAAGACACCGGCAGGGTAGTGCAAGAGGCATGGCCCGGCCAGCGTCGTCAAGACCCACAGAAATCACATCATTGCATCTGAAACCAACTGAATATCTGTCCCTCTTTAGGATGTGCATGGAGCTGTGACGAAGTCCACAGAACCCCCCGAGCCCTGAGGGCGTGGCCACTTCCTGGACCTGCAGACAACTTCTGAGAGCCGACAGGGACCGTGGTTTAGGGTTTAGGGTTTAGGGTTTAGGGTTTAGGGTTTCCTTACCTTCTCAAACCTTTCTGAGTCGGAACACTTGGGCAAAATGCTCCGGGAAAGGACGTGCCAACACCAAGTGGCGCCGCGGCCGAAAGCTCCCAAGACTCAAGAATACGCACCAAGAGAGTCCGAAAACTCAAAAGCTCACGCCTAAAGCCCAGATCCCGCAACCGAAACCCTCGAAGCACAGCCTTCTGTTCTTCCAACCTCTGAACCAGCTGTTCTCCTCCTTCCACTTGCCTCCAGCTTTGAGCGGTCGATGCCCGCGATGTCATCGAAGCGGGTGACCAAGGCATTGGATCCGGAGGCTTGCTGGGCCTCTGCTTCGCCCCCGAAAAAATCCACGACTTTACTGGCTTAACATCTACGTGTGCATGTTACTATTTACTGTCATGTGTAGACTTAGACCCGAGTGTTGGCTTGCCTATGTCTCTTACATTCTACTACACTACACTGAGAAACACGCATTAATTGACATCGATGGGCCTATGCTGGCTTTTAACCTTGCCCTCAGCAGATGTGATCAGATTTGGACGGAAACTTGCGTAGAACACACGAGCTGATCTGGGCCTGCATCACCTTCTTCCGGGCATCGCCCCAGCCCTTGCCGCGGCCACCCGTCATGCGTCGCATCATCGTGTAGACCTTCCAGCGTTGGGCTTTGAGGGCTAAAACGGGAGGGCTGTGAAGGGGATCTGGCCATTCCCAGGTAGACCACCAAGAACAGGCCACTCACAAAGATCTGCGGCACCCCGCTGACATGTTCGGCCACGATCCGAACCTGCAGACGCTTCCGCCGCTTCCGCTTTCGGGGAAGCTGAGGGCAGAAGTGATTGACAGGGCCGGGCAGGGCCTTGGCACGACGCAGTGCTGACCAAAGCTCCTCCCTGACGGGGCTCACCTTGGATCGGCCCGGATCGCTGTCTGAGCGCATCGAGCTCAACAGCACCGAGGAAGCTCTACCCTCCAAGCTTTCCACGGCAGTCGGCAAGCGCGCAAACAGCCTGGCTCCGGTGGAGAAATAGAGCACCTCAGCCAGTTCAGAAAGTACTGAATTCCCGGTTGAGTAGCGGCGTAGCTCCACCCCGCGCGAATGTAAAGACAGAGGCCGGCAGGTATACGCAGATTGACAGACAGCAGATTCAAACATGGGCCTGTAGACGGACAGATAGGCAGACAGATAATAGATAGGTAGAATGGTGGATAGGTGGACAGGTGTGTAGATAGATAGACAGATAAAACGATAGTTAGTTAGTTAGTTGGTTAGTTAGTTAGTTAGTTAGTTAGTTAGTCAGTTAGTTAGTTAGTTAGTTAGTTAGTTAGATCGTTAGATCGTTAGATCGTTAGATCGTTAGATCGTTAGACCGTTAGATAGATAGATAGATAGATAGATAGATAGACAGACAGACAGACAGACAGATAGATAGATAGATAGATAGAGAGATAGATCGACAGATAGATAGCTAGATAGATAGATAGATAGATAGATAGGTAGGTAAGTAGGTAGATGGATAGATAGCTAGATAGATACATAGATACATAGATGCATGGACAGGAAAGTTGATAGATAGACAGAGGGAGAGAGAGAGATTCATATGTATGTGTGTGTATATATATATATGTATATATACAGGTAGGTGGGTAGATAGGTAGATAAATAGACAAGTAGATAAGTACAAAACTAGGCAGGCACGTACTCGTACTTGCAGGCATAATGTACGTATGAGCCACAGTAAGCGTGGAGCATGCATTGCACATGCATCCTTCATAAAAAAAAAACCTTCGAAGGACGGTGGTTGTTGGTGGCCGCAGCTCGCACTTCGCTGGGATCCCTGCACACTGCGAAGCTCCGATCACCGCCTCGCGGAGCAGCGCTAAACAGCTCTGCAGAGCTCTGAAACGCTCTGGGAGGAGGCCGGGCCTGCTGTATGTCGCCTCAGCCAAGTTCAGCTAAGTGGGACGGCAGCTTAGGGCTTTGGGTTTAGGGTTTAGGAACTAGGATTTAGGGTTTAGGGTTTTGGACTTAGGGTTTCGGGTTTAGGATTTAGGGCTTCCGAGCCAACGACCAGTCGGTGCAGTCTCCAGCGTATCCAGCAGTAGACTGATGGAGACCTGCTCGGCCCAATCCAAAAGTCCATCACTATACCAGTGCTCCCCACGATTCGCCCGAGCCTCCGTAAGCTTTCCACCACGATGCTTTCTGCTGCGCATTACCTGTGCGGCCACAGAGAGGAGGAAAAATGCCAGGAACATGAGACAAGCTCCAGGCTAAGAGGGCCAGGAAGAAAAACATTCCGAATAGCCTCAGGATTGCATGCCGTCACCGTACATGCCACTCGTGTAAGTATACCTTACATCACACAGCAGAGCTGGTTTCCTCTAGCCGAGCCCTAAGACCTCGCCCCAAGACGCAGCCTTGGACTGCTAGGAATCCGGTTGCTGTCTAGAGTCGGCAGCATCTTTCGGAAGCGCTTTCCCACTGCCCTGGCAGTTGGAATAGCAGGTTTGACAATGATAGTGGTGAATGGCGAGCAGAAGACCGTGGATTCATGGCGCATGCACAGAAAGAGGCCACATCCCCCCATGATTGCATCACTATGACACCAGGCCCCATCCATCTTCCTTCTGTCGTTTCGTCGATATGACCAATGAAACTTCGCTTCTACAGCATCTCCATATGTCATGTGGCTACTGTCCGCCCCTTTCCGGCGAACCGGAAGTTGATAGTGGCAAGAAACGCTCCACCTGAGGCTGCGTGGAAGCCGAGGGAATTTCCGTTTCTTCTCCTGTTGCGCCCAAGGAACAACAGAGTCGTGCGGGCTCACAACAATCTCTCGAAGCTGAAGCTGAAGATCCATGCCGATCCGTGGCTAACTGTTCAAGCCATCTCCTTCTCTTCTCGCTCAATTTTCCCCTCCACACCCAAGCCCACATCTAGTACGAAAATCCATGCTCCAAACTTGAAAGCCCAATTCCAGAAAGAGCACCAGACATGCCTGGACCTCCTTGGATTCTGCTCGCTGAATCCACCGCTCTCCTAGCACGGGTTCGTCACCAACGTCTACATGCCGGGTCTGAGTTTAGGACCTTAGGAGCTCCAATATGCCAGGTCTATGTGTGGCGTTGCGGCTTTCGCTTTATGCCTCTTAGGACCGCTGCTGTAGCAAAGTATTCCACCTTTCAACGGAATTGCCATACGTTCCGGCCCACTCCTCTTCTGGCATCACGCACAAGCGGCCTGAGGATCTCTCGCCCGAGGCCTACCAAAGACGCCAGTTGCGCTCAAAACGACAAAAAACATCGGCAGATGTGAAAGGATTCGAAAACCCGACCAGGTAATAATTTAGTAAGCCATCTTATCATAGGAAATAAGCCATGTTCGTCGTGATGGGCACATGGAGCAGCTAGCGGGAACCCGAGCATGCCGGGCAGCTACCTTGCCAAACAGGTCGTGGCCGTACCGCAAATGGCCTCAGACTGCTTTGTGATAGGGTCTGCTTAGAGCCACTGGCACCAGTGCGGCGCTCATGCAAGACAAGGCTGCGCATGTCTACGATCCTGTGCCGTTAAAGATGCGACCCTTTCGCTGAAGTATTGAATTCCTACTGCCACAAGCTGCTTTTGCACACAATGCTCGAAGCACATACCTGTTGTTCCATCACCGTGTTCGCACTGGCCTCCAAACACAAATAACATCTTTGCACAGCTGTAGCAGACAATGGTAGAACACTGTAGCAGTAGCACATGCGTAAGCTCGTCATCGGGTGCTTGACGGGTAGCTACTGTCCTGACAATCCCTGTCAGCCCTGTCAGCCCGATGCAACGGCAGGAAAGCTGCAGACAGCAAAACGGCCTAGTAGACACCCCAGGCCCGGAGTCAGAACTGTAAGAACCTTGAGGCACAGACACGTCGCAGCATGCGGACCAGCTGCAGGATTCAAAACATAGACCTCGCAAAGAAGGCTCGTGAAGCCAAGACGGATGAGAAGCGAGACATGAACTTGCCTGGTCCGGGTCTCTGAACACGCAGACCTCAGAAACTCAGGTTAGGGTTTATGTAGGGTTTAGGTTTAGGGTTTAGGGTTTTAGTGTAAGGTTTAGGGCTCTCATGTCTATCTTGTGGAGAAACACGACTGAGTGCTTGCTTGTCTCGGCAGCCCGAAGCTGGTGCCCGAAAACACATGAATACTTTTCTTCAGCGAAGTCGTCCCCCTCAGTCCTGCTATGCTCGCAGAGCTGAGGAAGCCTCGCTACCTTGAGCCCCTTCTCAGCATCGTCACTGTGGTCACTGGGCTTCTTTTCGCATACGCGGAAAGCGCGAGTCCGCGCGGAAAACGAAAGCATGCCCACAACAAAATCTCTGCACCACCAGACGAGCGATGAGCTGTCGTAGTGTTCGCACATACGTGCAGCTTGCCCCTCAATGAAAATCTCACCCGCTGGTAAGCCCATCGCCACCTGGTAGAGGAGCAGCCGGCTGGCGCCATGGCAGGTAAGGCGAATCCATGGGCTGCAGCCCCAGCTCGTGAAGTGCTACAGACTGTGCTACAGGCCTGGGTTCTTTGACATGGTGCAATGGTGGCTGGTTGGTACCGACGCCGCTGCATGTTGCCGAAACTTGGAAACCTTCCCAGGGCGGCACATGTACTCGGTATCCGGGCTTCGTTTGGGCTCAAAGGCTGTCGGAACCCACCAACAGCCGCAATCAGAAGGACTGGGACTTGGTGTTGGGCACTGGTGCTGAACATCGTACATGTTAACATGTGCAAGACATGCCGCTGTGGGTGCACCGTTTTGCTGCAACTTTGTTGAGCAGTAAAGTCGGGTCGCAAGCGGTGCCACTTCAAATTCTTCATCTTTGCCCGGGACAGCACACCGTCATCCAATAACCTGGGTGGCACGAGCGGTCGGCAATCAGAATCCAAAGAGAAATGCCTCTCAACTTTCAAGAGAATGACTTCTCAAAAGTTCCACAACGTCGTCCCAACATCACCCTGCCGAAGTACGTCTTTTGCCCTCCTCATCCTCAAGGGTCCGATATCGGTCCTGCCCATGGGCACTGGCACCAGGGCAGCTGGTGTTGCTGTGCACGCGTCCTTGGCGAAAGGAACTCCCTCCGGATTCAGGCGAAGAGCGAAGTCGTTCGGGTTGAGGTCTCCGACGATATCCTTCAACAAGTTTGTCTGGTATGATTCACGGTAGCACTCGTCATGCATGCTTCGTCTGTTACTTGGCCATAAGGAAAGCAAGCCTCTCACATCATGAATCATGCTCAAGTCTTCCGGAAATGCTTCCAGGCCTCGAACACCAGGTACTCGCGGTGGGGATCTGGGCGCAGCACGTCGAAGAGTCGATTTGCGTCCTTCAGCAAGAATCCACAGCGATGCTGCGATGATGCTCCACAAGCAGAAGCCGAAGTTCTTTGGCACCTTGGGGTAGCCAAGAGACTTGCACCCCTCGAAGAAGCGCAGCCTGTCTCAGAGGCGTGCTTCTCATCCTTTAGCTCGAAAGCTTCAGAAAGGCAATTCTACATATGTTACGGAGCCGGAGCCTGCCCACGCGCCGAATGTGTTGAGGGTCGAAAGCCACTCTCCAACCCTCCTGCACTCATGCGACACACCTTGAAGGATACTTGCTTGGTTGGAACGCAACTACGACGTGGCGCCCTTCTGTCCCAAGGCTGTCGGCAGGGGCGGGGTCCTTGAGGCTGGGCAATGGCGTCCTGCCCGACAGTGGCTGGAAATTAGAACAGCAATGGAAGCTGTTGTCGCGGATGACCAGAATCATCTTTATTCAGACCTCGACCTGCTGGCAGGAGCTGGTAGCGTGGCCAAATCCAGCCTAAACACTCGGAACGTCAGGGAGGCTGACCAAGCGTGAACCCTGGCAGAGGGGCACACGTTGCTTCGGGTCCGTCTGCAGGAGCAGCCAGATCAGCCACCGTGTCAGCTCTCGGGTCAGTGATGGGATCAGCAGGAGGATCTGTGGGCGGATCAGCCGATGCATCAGCTGATGGTTCAGCCGATGGATCAGGGGAGAAGTGCTCACTCTCAGCCGCGGGGTCAGCAGAAGCAGCAGCTTGGTCAGCAGCCTGGAACTTCGGACATGCAAGTACCGGCAACTGGACGTGTAGATTCGCACGACAAGTGTGGCATGATTGTCACCGCCCAGGTGCGGCTGTTGCTGCAGCTTTGGACTTCTGCTTGGATTCAGATGCCTTGCGCGGTGGGACTTGGCCTACGACGTGCAAACTTGGAGGATCCTAATCTCAGACTGCTCGAGTGCGCTCCATTGAAGTTGGGACAGAAGCATCTGCAACCGAAAGAGGACGTCTTCTCACCCTCTGTTGGTCACGCAAACCCTCGTCCTGCAACACCCGACCCTCACGGAATCCAGAAAGTCTATCAAATCCCTATCGGCACATGTTTGGGCCTGCAGCAGCAGATGGTGCAGCTCCGACCAAGACTGCGCTGTCTCTGCGTCGAAGATCTGCCACAGCGAGCAAGCTCGGACTTGCTGGGATTTTCTGTTGGCACGCCTCCAAGGTGAGGATTCCACCTTTCTGTCCCTGCATGAACTCGCGCCATAGGTAGGAAACCTTCCAGCGTCTGTATCTTGTGGAGTCTACACCCGTCTCCAGACGGCATGCCAAAGTCTGCGGAAAGCTTTTCCGATATCCTAGCCGAATTCTACCCTGCACAAGCTGCAGCAACTGCCAAAATTCAGAAGCTGCAATAGCCTAGCCTAGACAGCTCACAAGGTGCTGAACGCTTTGAGCTTTGAGTGACAAGTTCTCTGCTTCGTGAAATCGCGTACGAACAGGAGTTCGGCTCTTTTCCACCACCCGCGGAGTGGTGTGGTCCGAACTGGTCGCAGCCAACCTGCTCAAGCCTCTAAAAAGCGAACTGGTCGGTCCGCAGAGCTTTTTTTCGGGCGGGTTTGGAGGGAAAGCTGAAAAACTCGAGGTGCAACGTCTTCAGCAGCTGCTTCTCTGTTTGCTTCCTAACTGGTAGCAAACACAAAAAGACTTTCACCCGCCCTTGTCACTGTGTGCACGTGCACTGCCCTGCATGACTGTCCTGGCAAATGACACTGTCCTGTGTTCTGCTTGCACTGCCAGGCACTGATTTAGGCAAGCAGGCTTGCCGTTGTTTGAGAAGGTGATCATATCGCGCTGGCGGGTGTTTTCGATTCAACAGCGAGGCTGAGCACAAGACTCTCTGCACGCCAAGTCGTCGACAGATCAGCGAAAAATCCTGGCGAGTGTTGCTGGAGGAATCACACTCCTCACGACAGGTACACCGTTTGCAAGCTCCTGCTTCGCCACAAAGCCATTTCTCTCCTGCCAAGTGGCTAACAAGGCACTGCTAAGACATAGCTATCTCAAAAGCTAACACAGGCAGCGAGACCCTATCGAGGGCATAGACCCATGCAGCAAAGAAGCTGCCATGTTTCGCCTGGAACTTCTTGCAACCAGGGCTCAGAAGATGAGCTGTACTGCGGTGGTGGAGCTGCATACTCCTTACCAAGGATCCGGCAAGGAGCATTGCTTTGAAGCCCTCGGCGCTGTCGATGAGACGGGCTTGATCCTTTGACAACTTGCTTTAGCAAACGATGTCTGCCACTTATGCCATAAGTGAAACAGGAAGCGCCTCAACGGACACGGGCTTTTCTGCTTCCATTCCTCCGCAAGCTACATTTCGCACGGAAACCGACGAAAACCACGGAGTCGGTCACAAGGCCACTCTGAAGGGGCCCCTCCTTCGCCCCAAGCTTCCTCGCGCTCTTCCGGGGCCACGCCGATGAGGAGGGCCTTGAGGTCCTCCTTGCGCAGGGAACCTCGATCCACGGAAGAAGCTCAGCCCCCTAATCCCAAGAACGAAGCCGAGCCCCCAAGCGCTGCCCGTGCCGAGCCAAGAGGTACCCGAACAAGGTCGCCACCTCGGGGCTCTTATGCAAGTTGGCACTCGACATCTAGCGCGAGTCTCTCGGTGACCTCCTTCGGCTTCAACGTCGGCAGCACTTGCTCGCAGGCGGTCCTGAAGTCCTCGCCATCTTCGTACTTCGTGCTTTGAAGATCTTCAGCCTATTTGCAGTCCGTCACGCCTCGAGGTCCACAATGCCCAGGTCGTGCGGGTCAATTCCTGCAGATGCAGCTCATGCAGGATGGTCGTCAGATCATCGAAAGCTAATGTTGATAGCGGCAGCCTTTGTACCAGGCATCCATCAAAGTTCCATGGTTCTGCAGGATCTCCCTGCGGCACGCCTCCGTGCAGGAGGCGCCGTTTGCCAAAGCTTGAAAGCAAACCAGCACGTCGCTCTCAGAAGTGCCTCCAGCAACTTCTGAGTCTTTGGATCGATGTCGATGAAGCGGAGGACCCCTGACTGGCACGCCGCACGCTGTGGAAACTTCCTGTCCGACACGGACCTCGGTCGCCAGTCAGCTCCGCCCAGAGCTTCCGAAGATTGCCTCAGGGGCATACCCAGGCGTTGCGTGGAGTGCTCTTCGGGGTTTACCGGGCAGTGACACTGCTATGGCTGCAACAAAAGTTGGCTAGTCGCCTGCGCATCCAAGCCGGTGCATCAGCTCGAAGAACTGCTGAGACGTGACGGAGCCTGGCCACGGAAAGCAAGCACAACGCTACACAAATCCATGCTTCTCGTTGCTACATGTTTGTGTCGAGTGTTTGTGACCGACTCGTGTCGAAAAAACAGAATTGGCGTTTGGTTGAGCAATCTCGAAGAACCGCCTCAGGCTATGGAGTAAACCATCAAAAGCAACTACCAGCAACGATCAGGAAAACTGTCCGCTGCGGTGCTGCTGCAGCACTATGTATGTGAATTGAAGGTAAACCCGGGCACACCCAGGACAACAGCTGCTGCAAGCACGCAGCTCAAATCTCATGACTATGCAGTCGACAAAGGAGAAGCCCAACAACTCCACGAGTGAATTGCTACACTGGCGTTGCGAGCTGCTAGCGCTGGCTTGTAGTCCCTGGCATTTGCCTCGGCCTCTCCAGTCCAACTCCGTGACCCAGCAGGCAGCTGTAGACACGAAGTCCCTCAAAGGGGTGATTCACCGTACGTCAGACGCAAAAAAACAGCTGAAATACAAGGAAATGCGTGAAATTTGAACTCCTGGCCTTGCCATGGCTTCTCGTACCAGCTGTGGCCTGGAGCAGATCAACACGGGGGTTTCCGAAAATAAGGGGTACCCGATTTGGGGGTCCTTATAATGAGGATCCTACCATTTAGAGTACTATATTAGGGTCCCCCATTATCGGAAACCCCCACACCACTGCCCGTAAAGTTCAATTGGCACGCTGTGCCTCTGCAGACACACATGCAAACCCGAGTGAGTGGCATTATGCACAAGCATGCATGTGTATAGAGGAACTTGCTTGCAAACGTACTCAGGTACCCATAGTGATACTTATGTATGTATGCATGTATGTACGTATGCGGGTGGCTGGCTAGCCGGCTAGCTGGCTAGCTAGCTAGCTCGTTGGGAATGTAGCTAGCTACGTATGGGCATGGGTGCTTGCATGTGCGCGTACGCATGCATGTATGCATGTATGTCTGCAGGTATGTCTGCAGGTATGTCTGTATGTACGTATGTACAGCGTGACATATGTATACACACGCGCGCGCGCGTGTGCGCGTGTGTGTGTGTGTACCTAAACATGTGCATGCGCCGACACAGAGAGAACGAGAGAGAGAAAGGAGCGATACGTACAGGCCGCCCATGCTCACACATGGGCACACGCACGAACACGAACAAAGGAAAACAAAAACATGTGCACCCCAAGGTAGCACCTGAAGCATGGCACACTTGTCTGAGCTTGGCGCGTCAGCTCGTGCTTCAAGATGTCTTCGGCCTTTTCCTCATTGTCTTCCTTGGGCGGTGCGGTGGACGAGTTGTGTAGAAAAGTGCGAAGGCCGACGCCGCCTCCTCCGGCTTCAGCTTGACCTGACCCCATGACAACTCATGCGGGCGTGACAACTCCGACAAAATCAAGGCAGAACAACGCACATACCCGAACATGCTCATGGACCTCTGCTGCCACGAGCAGGGACGTTCCCACTGGCAGCACAGGCCTGTGAAAGCTGTGCGAGCGGCCCGCGGAAGCTCGATTCTCTTCAGATCTGGCCTTCGCAAGGACTTCGGCTTCTTCAACTCCCAGAGACGCCGAGTGGTCACCTGTGTAAGACACGGTCGCAGTTGTGGAGCCAGAGCAAACCCGAGGCAGCCGCGAACATGTCTTCCAGGTCCCAGAGGAACAGCGAATCGGAGTGGCCTCTCCAATTCATTCACTCTCCTCAGTGGCCCGAAACTGATTAGGATGAAGGCCTGGATTAGGATGAAGGCCAAGGAAGAGCGTCTCCACAAGATCTTCCGGAAAGCCCAAGGCCTCGTTCACGCACCGTAAGCTTTAACCCGTCTTCCACCCTGTGCATTTGCACGGCTGTTGCCTTGCAGCCTGACGACAGGTCTTCCATGGAAAGGCCTTGAAAGCACATGGGTGGTTGTCAAAAATTATGGTCCCTTTTTGGGTCCTTATTATAATACGGCACCTATTATTTAGGGTACCCCACAAGGGACCACAATTTTGACAACTACCTACATCGAAGGCCACAACGCTGGACCCATCTACCCCACGGATGAGATCGCAGCTGGCATACGGGTCCTTCTTGAAAATCTCTACCCACACCGTTGCTAAGTCCTGGGACATGGGGACATCGTGCGGTAACTTCAGAAGGCAAGCAGGATCGGATGCAGGAGTGAAGCCCGGTCCTCGTAAGTGAGGTGGATGGTTTCGAAGAAACGGGTCCTCACGTCCGGCAGCTGCGGATTCCACAAAGCAACAAAGGCCTAAAGGCTAAACCCTATAAACCCCATACCCTCCCTCCCCAAACTGACAAGCGCACACGGCTTCGCTGCTCTCAAAGTCCAGGTCCTGCAGATGGCTCGCAATTTTTTGGTGAGGGCAGGGGGGCTTAGATAGGAAAAGTATCATATGATTATGGTCTAGTATCGAATACTATAGTCTAGTCTAGTCTAGTCTAGTCTAGTCTAGTCTAGTCTAACCTAGAACTGTTATGGTCTAGTATTATCGTATAACAATAATACATGGTATAGAGGCGAAGAGGCGAGAAGAAAAGGTCACAGAAATTTCCGAGGTCCTTGAGCCGCAGCAGGTTGCGATCTCCACACAGCTCGGCCTTTGCTTGCCATGGGCTAGGGCCTTGTTCTCTGGGGAGATGAAAAATGTAATGGACGATAAAGATAAGATAATCTACTGTAGGATAAGATAAGTTAAGATAAGAGAAGACAGGAGACTAGACTACAAGTAGCCTTTTTATACTGTCAAACAATGTGAGAAGCCTCTGGGCGTGAGGCCCACAAGCTGCGGAGGCTTCCCCTGTAGCCATTCCCTGAGCGAATCGCAGACCACGTGGGTTTCAGGGGGGGCGTTTCGGGTTTAGGGTGAAGTTCAGTGGGGTCTGGTCTGGCTGGCCCGATATATTGCTAAACCCTAAACCCTAAACCCTAAACCCTAAACCGTGAAGCTTTAGGTGTATTGCTTCAGGCCCGGCGGCGACGGGCGGCATTGCAGAACTCGTTGAAGTTCAGCGATCCACTGCCGGTCGGATCGAGGCCAAAGCGCCAGGCAGCCACCTGGCAGCCATTTGCTGAGGGTTTAGGGTTCAGGGTTTTTTTGAGGGAGCCCTGCG